ATATCGAAAACAAATGGAAAAATCGAAAATTCTCAGAAGTGCAAAGTTATCCACTGGAACATTTCCTACAAATTATTACCCATAATTTTTTCTGTAAACCCAATAGTACAGGAAATAAAGTGAAACGACCCATAAGGTACCATGAAGATATATTGAAAAACAAAGATTATCGATAGATGAAGCTCATCGACTTCCACTGAACAATGAAATCTTTTTTCCTTTTGTTGATTGGAAGATGGAACAAAAGTGTTGAACATTTTATTCTCAGATAATTCCAAATATCTCGAAAACAACTGAAAATATCTGAAAATGTTATAGAACCAAAATTATTCCTTTTGATAGAATCTACAAAAAATCCGTGAATTCAATATTACTATTTATCAATTGGCTGAGTATTGTTGCAAAAGTGTTCCCTTCTCAGATACACCCTGTATGATTTTGGTAGTAATAAATCATAGGATTCTAGAGAGGACTGACACATCCGTTAATCTCTCGAGAACGGTCTTGAATAAATGAACTTCCAATTAATTTTCGTATAATAGGAAATTGTTACCTATACAGGTATGTTGAGGATTCAGACTGATACACTACAGCAGGAAATGATCGTACAGTGACAGAGAGGACAGGAAGTCAGCTGGGACACTTGCTGGCGAATAAGGTGCACCTCGTGATATACAGGGTGACCAGAATGTTGATGTACAGCGCCAGGGTGGGACTTGCCTCTCGGATATAATCGGTTTCGTAGATTTTTTCTTGGTTTCGCCAACTTGACAAAAAGAGTGGTAAAAACATCGAAATGCAAAACATTTATCAGGATATTAGTCCCTGAAAGGTCTGTACGAAATCTCAGCACATATTCGTGAGGTTAAAATGAGCCGATTCAAAGCAACTTACCTCAGTCCGAAATTTCTCCATTTCTCATGAACATTTTTAAACGTATCACTTCAAAAATGGATATTTGAAGTTTTTTTGGGATGCGACCTTTCCACTGTGGCCATTAGAGAACACTTCGCATGATTTAGAATGTTCATAACTTTTTTCTTGATTGTAGTTTCCGACTTCATTCGCTGAGGAAATAATGTTCTGAACATTTTCATCATAAAATATACTCTTGTGATGATCTACTGAAGTGAGCCGATTTCGAGATATTTCGGTTTTTAATGTTCTATGCAGCACCGGAATATTCAAATTGTTTTTAATAAAAAATGTTTTCTGTTATTTGGTCAGTTAATTAGCAGTGCAAAAATAGATTTTTCAAAATACTTGGAGTGTACTTGTCAATTCTTATTTTTCATCAATGACTTATACATGATCTATGACTTTTATATCCTACTGCCCCAACCTGAAGGATTGAAATTACCTGTGGAAAAGTTGGCTAAGCCTTCATTTTCGGAAAGTAGGCACGATATTCTACAGGGTGTTTCAAAAAAAACCTAACCCCCTTGCTAGGGTAGGTAGAGCACTGCAAAATAAGTTGGGTTTGCTCAGTGAGAATATGTCGTAACGGCATTCATTCGTTTTCATGATATACAAGGTGTTGAAAAATTGATTTTTTACACATTTTTCACGATTATGTCGAAACTACTGGCAACATTGTAATGAAATATTGTACGAATGTTTCCTGAAACCTGACACATCACATGCATTTATTTTTATATTTGACTCTCATAGAGGGCGCTAGTTACAGGGTTCGTACCGAGTAGTTCAGAACATTACTGTTTTGAGGTTATATTTCTCAATCCAAATATGATATGAACTTGAACATCATTCAATTTCACACTAAAAAGGTACTCTTGGTGAAACTCGATACTATGTTCCGTTTTCGGAATATTACGATTTGAAAATATAATGGAGTAATATAGCTGATGCTGGTATAATATGAATTTTATTGAGTTCAATTACCTATTTATTCAGATTCGAAAACGATCAAATTATGCTTGTGCTGAAGTTATTGATGGAACAAAGAATCATTAGTAGAAAATTAGGAGATATTGAAATATTGAATCAATTAGACTTTAGAGTATAAGTGTTCAAAATGTCGTACGTTTCGAAGAAAAAACGATTCTATATTCTTTTATTCTTAAGAATGTATTATTCTTCTTAACAGTTGAGGATCAGCTGTTAGGTCATTTTAGTGATGTTCAATTATGTCTTACAACTCTTGACGTGAATTTACCCATGTAGCATAGCCTTTCTGCTCAAGATACAACAAAACTGTGTAATTAATCCATGTTCTTAGTCAAATCTGTTCCGATGTTATTCTTGTTATTCATTATTAAATCAATAAGTTCATCATCATAAATGTATTGTTGTTTTCGGTTTTCAATAAATTGGTGATATATTTTCATAATACTCACTCTAATACATAGCTTTATACCAGCAACAGAAATATTATGAAAACGGAACATAGTATCGAGTTTTACCAGGAGTACCTTTTTGGTGTGGAATTGAATGATGTTCAAGTTCACATCAAATTTGGATTGAAACATCTAACCTCAAAAAAGTTATGTTTAAAACTACTCGGTACGAACCGTGTAACTAGCGCCCTCTATGAGAGTCAGATATAATAACAAATGCATGCGATGTGTCAGATTTCAAGAAACATCCATACAAAATTTCACTACAATGTTGTAGTTTCGACATAATCTTGAAAAATGTGTACAAAAATCATTTTTTCAACACCTTGTATCTTGATAACGGATGCCGTTACGAAATTTTTCCACTGAGTAAACCCAACTTATTTTGCAGTGTTCTACCTACCCTAGTTAGGGGGTCAGGTTTTTTTGAACACCCTGTATGATCCACATTAGAATTCGGTGTACCTACCGTATTAACTTAAAAGGGATGATAGCACATAATATTATTACCTAAAAAGAAAACAAATTCAACACCGGTGAGGTCATTGAATAATATCTTAGCAGATTTGCGTTGGTTGATTTCTAATAATTCATTCCTTTATATCCTACACGTAAAATTTCGAAATTATTATCAAAACTTTCAATATATGGGTCACGTGTCAGGTATGTTGAATTCAAAATGGTGACGATTTTGTACCATTCTGATGGTAATTATAGATAGTATCAATGAATTACTGGGAACTATGAAAGACGAATAGAACTTCTACATTATTGTGAGGTGTTGTTGGTATTGTTGGCGATTAGCATTTTTTGCATAACGATGGCCTTTAATGGGCCGGAATGTTTTGATCTGCGTTACGTAAAACGTTTTGTTTGTTTTGTTGACGAGATGCAAAGTGAGATGAATATTCAATAAAGAATCGGAATTTAAAATTTTTCATATACCTATTCACCTATTCAATAATGAAGAAGTTTTCTTCAGATTAATTTCCATAGAATGAGTTCGAAACTCCAGTTTCAAAGGCCAAGTCGTTTTCATATGTTATGATTTCCCACCTCAGAAAAGATACCGAATACCAAATTTCGTGCTGAAATAGTATATTTCATTACGAAAGAATAACTTTCCGCACTAGTTAGGAAAATTACTATTCTATGGACGAGTAATAAACGATATTTTTTATTACACTCCGATGAAAATGAAAATATAATAATAAAGTGTATACTTCGCACATTGTATGTGAACTATACGAATTTTTAATATTTTAACTTCATGGTCCTCAATCGAGCAAATATCCAAGAGATAATTCATTCCTGAATGTTTATCATTATTTTTTTAATCTTTTGGATCGCACGAAAGGAAATTCCTATAATGTTCGTGGAACATCGTGCTTACCTAGGGAGGATAGGGAGAGGCCCTTCAAGTCACTTCAACACTATTTTTTATATTGAGCTGAGCATATTACTACTTCAGAACTATATTTCTTGAAGTTTGTAGAAAAATATTTGTTTGCAACTCGAGCGCGAAATACTTTAGTCATCTCGATACCAAAGTAGCATTTCGCTCACTAGATACAAAAATACCTATTTCGCAAAAGTAATTCGAAAAGAAAGAGGAAAAAATCAATATCAGCACCCTGTATCTCTGGAATGAAGCATGATTTTTTTAAATGTCCCGGAACCCTCAGGAATACGTGATTCAAATATTCATCATACCCTGTATATTGAATATAAATATCGTATTAGAGTCGTATTTTCGCCCTGTGTGAGTATGATCTTTAGTTGGTGAGAATGGCGGAGGAGCTGAAACTACTTTCCTGATGAGGTCTGATTTGATCGCAATATTTGATAATTTCTTCTCAAACCTCATCGAGAACATAAAAAGCTCAATGGGGAAACTTGCCGATATTCGTTGAATATGTAGTTATTTATTGTACAAGGGAAAAAATTATTAGATTTTACCTCTAGGTTCTGTTGTGGGCCGAAACGAAGGTTTAAAAACTACTCCACAAAGATGAGCAGCACAACTTTCAAAGAAACATATTTTGCATTTACATGTTGAGAACGAGAGCAGATTCGGTCCCGAATCGTCCAAAGATGAGTAAAAATTCGATATTTTTTCAATTTATCCGTATTTCTTCCTTCACTCATTTTTTCAAACAAATTGTCACTGACTATCTACTGGATTTTTCTTTTAGACTCGCTGATAGAAAAATGTGTTGAACGCGCAGGGACATTTTGGGGCAAATCATCTGATTTGTCCCACTGCAAATATATTGAAATAATACGAATATTTTTATTTTATAGAAACGAGGAGAGAAAATCCCAGAGAATCAATTTTTTTTTATCGATTGGAGCGCACGAAAGGGAATCCCTATAATGTTCAAAGAACATCGTGCGTTCCTAGGGAGGATAGGGACAGGAGGTAGATATTGGATTTTTTTTTGAACTTTTGGAGATTATATGTTGTTGGGAATACTTCCACAGGCAATGAATTCCAGAGCCTAGCCGTTCTATGGATGAAGGAGTCTTGATAAAGTGCTGTTCAACATCTTTCGAGGTTGACTTATGGGACACCCTGTATATTCGGGGAAAAAGATGGCAAAGAAAAGTGATTTTATGAAAACTGGAATTCTGCAACCTGTCAACAAAGATTAAATGTTAAACTACCTTTCCGTCAAAGAAAAAACGAATTTTTTTCTTCCGGCTGATATGGCCCCACACATCATTCTCGAGCCCCCTCTTCCCCGGTACGGCCCTGGCGAGTGAGTCTCCGCTCCGAAACAAGGCTAACTCGATCGTCAGTGCGAGCCGGCTCTCTCACCTGTTGAAACAAACACCTGACTATCGGTCGCACGGGACCACAATTTATTTTCTGCCGCCGCGCGTTCACCGAATTTCGAGCGGTAAACAGATCTGACGTCACTACTGACAGCTGACGGACTATCGAAGTGTCAAGTGTCAAGTGAGCAACAGGTGGCTCGGTGCGAACGCGGTAGAATTGAAGCGCCGATATGTCATATCAGTGATTGGATGGTGCCTATATTTTTCGACAGCTCGTGTGGATTTTCTGTTCCTGATTCAGTGATTTCGTATTGTTTACGTTCAACGTCGAGGATATTCGGATAAAGTTGATAAATATAAATAGTTGGAAAAGGAATATTCTCAGATATAATTATGAACGTGAAAAAATAAATATATATAGAAAGAAATACATTGAGAATCCGCATTCTCTATGTGATGAAAATATCAATCCTTTCTCGGTTTATTCAACAGAAAACAACAACTTTCCGGGCTATACGCCACGACGAACATTGAATTACATCTCTTGGACATACACGATGAAAATTTGAAAACAAAATGTTCTGAAGTAAAGAATTGCATTCTCCTTCATATACAGATATGACGTAATATCATTCTGAATATTCAACTTCTTGGCTATTTGCCATGTCGAACATTGAATCATATCTGTTGAATATCTAAAAAGAGGATTTCCATTTTTTTTGCTCTCTTTTTGGATGTTCAACAGATATAATTCAATGTTCGATAAATAAATTGTCCAATGATGAAAAAAGGAAGGGCAAATAATTGTTCTAAATGCGATCCAGAAGATAGGCGGAACAGGTGAAATTTGTAACTTTATAGTGAACGAAATATCTTGATCTTGATAAATAATGGTTTGTTCACATTTTCATCATCAAATTCTTGTTTTTCAGACACGAATACACAAAAATTCAGAATTTCTTTCCACATCCTGTATGATGAATGTCAATTTATCATACATTTAAAAAAAATACAGTTCAAAAAAAATTTCGAAATATACAAACCATCGCATGATGCAGGTTTACCGAATCTTTAATTATTTATTGAATTAGATATTGCTATTTACGAGGGTGTCAATGTAGGTTTATGAAATATTTCCAAAGATTATGAGAATGTTTGAGAATGTTTGATACTTCTTGAGTATTTATGAGAATATACAGGGTCGGGTCAGATTCGGTTAGGTAGGAATTCAACAGATTACAGATGCTACGATTTTGAGATAGAAATTTCCTATAAACATATACGCGTGAGAGCCTGTTTTTCGATATACAGTCGGTAAAATATGTTTCTATCTTTTTTGTGGTTTTCAAGTTTTGCCACTGAGTTTCAGTAACCCATCTTATAAAAGCTTTCGAATCATTCCAGGTATAGTGTGTCCGAAAAATAGATAAAAATAGATAAAAAACGCCTCGTAGTCCTGAATATTGATTTTTTCGAGTTTGAAAATAGGTGTACCAAATTCCGATTCATTATTTTGAAAATTGTAGGAAAACACGGAAAACACTTGAAAAATCTCAATCTTTGACAACTTGTGAATATATGTTCAAATGACATTTTTATCCTTAAAATCTTATTCTTCGAACTGTTGAAGTCCTGCTACAAAGCACTAAATCACCCTGTACATGACATTATCTCAAGATCCTCCAGTTTTCATAAGAATTCATGAGGATTTATGAGAATTCAATGAAAATTCATCAGGCATTGAAGATACAAAAACTGCACAGAAAATCACAACGATTTGTTCCTTGTCCCTATGAGATTTGTCGATATCATTCTTGATTCTTGAAAAATATAGGCACACCATAAAAAGTGGTTCGAAAAGTGTTCATCGAAGAGTGATTAGTACACCGCGAAGTGAAACGACAAAAACCTAGTGATTCCCCCACCAATTCGATAACCATGTCGATCTACCACTTCATGAAAAACGACTCTCAACCGAGCCCATCGAAGCGGTTGTTCGTGCAGGGCGCGAGGAGCGCAGGCGCACCCTCTAGGGAATCCTCCCCCCTACCAGAAGACACCCTTGAAGCGGTATACACGAAGAAAAAACTGTCCACCGAAGTGTTGGGCAGCTCCTTCGAATCCACCAAGACCACCAAGATGGGGCAGGACGGCAGAAGGAGGATAACGACGAAGATCGTGCGCAAAGTGACGACTTTGGCGCGTGGTGAAGAGCAGAAAAGGGCGGAAGGGTTGCTGAAGAAAGGGGAGGCGAAAAGGGTGGAGGCGGCCACGGAGGTGGCTAGGAACGTCGGCGCGATCGAGCCCAAACGAGTCAAGGTCAGAATCTAACGAACGAAGGGAGTTTACAAGAGTTCATGAGAATTGATGGAAATTCATGAGCATTTATGAGAGTTTATGAAAATTGATGGGAATTCATTAGAGTTTATGAGAATTGATGGGAATTCATGAGCATCCATAAGGGTATCAGAATTTATGAGAATTCATTTCCTTTTATCATCAGTTTGAAAACAATCGTTACAGGAATTCAATGAAATATACGTTTCATGACGTTCTTTTTCTCTTCTTGCCTTGCCTTGGACAGTATTCTAAGATTCAGGAATTATTGTATCGATAAAAGTTTGTATCTATGAGTATTCATGAGAATGAATGATAATTTATAAGAATCCATGAGATGTTATGAGGATTCATGAGCATTTACGAGAATGCGTGCGTGAGCTTGAATGAAAATTTGTAGATCAATAATTGATTTCACGATACTATCTCGTTCACACTTTTTTGTCATCACGGTTGTTTGCTTTCCATCACTATCAATAATGGTCAAGAATTCGAGAATGGCAATACCTCAAGAGGTTTCCTTTATTCCTTCTGGGACGATATCATGCGATTCAACAACCCATTGATAAGAGTCTGAATCTATGAGAATATTTGAGAATTCATAAGGTTAGAAACGAATAGGAAGGACTGAAGGATTGAGTATGAACATATTCAGTTTTGGTGACGCCTGATATATCAACCTAGCTAGGAATGTTGGAGCATTCAAGCCCAAACAATCCAAGGTCAACGATATTTCCGTAATAATGTTCGCGCGATAACAATGAATGACTGTTATCGTACGATGGGTTCACTAGATTTAGCTAAAAACTGCTGCTGTGAATTTATTCGGAATTTATGTTAGTATAGGGATGAGTAGAAGCGAATAAATACTGTTACGGGTGTACAGGGTGCTTTGAATATTGAACGACAGCCTACCATCATTGTTCTTACTTAAAATTCCGTGTAGATAAAATCAAACGGAGTTATAACTCAACTTGGATGTCTCAAACCTTATTTGGAACATGGTGTTCATCAAGTGTAACTAAAAAATCACAGCGGAACAAATAATTAAGCATAACCCACCGAGACATTTACAATATATCGTCCAAACTTTTTTTCAACCAATAAACATGCAGAGAGCAAAAAAATACAGACTATATTCGTAGTGAAATTGATATATTCAATTGCGATTTCTTAGTGACGTGATGCTCAATTTCCGCATTGATTGAACCTTATCCTTATTTGCTATACAGGAAGTCAAAATACTGAGCAAATATGGTTAGCTAGTGAAATAAATATTGTGTGAAAAGTTGAGCTATTTCATAGATAATGATGTAAAAGGCGCGGTTGCCACGTCACTTGGTTACAAATTCTCAAATCTGTGCCTTTTTTGTATTTTTGAAAATATTTAAATACACTACCAATCGTTTCATGTGTTAATAGGGTCTTAATATTCATATTATGTTTGATAGTATCAGATATAGCACAACAATGTTTATATAATGAGACGTCATCGTATGATAAATATAATCTTTTATAGCATAGGTACTAAACAAGTGTGTATTTCATTACTGTAAAATTAGATTCAATGAATAGGTATACTATGATAATTATTGTTTGCATTCATTATTTATATACAGAGTGACATCAAAATGTCAAGTACATATTGAAGGAGGGATTTTAGTACTAAAAGTTGCTAGAAACATATGATTATTTCTCAATTTGATTTGTTTTCAAGATACAGAGTGTTAAATTTGAATGAGTGCTCACTATTACCAATAATTTAGATGAAATTCTAATAAATTTTGATTCTTTCAGCTGATCTCTTGCGGATTCGCAAAAATCTCGGCAAAAATAGTCCATTGCATATAGACATTTATAATATCTACCTCTCTAACAAGGGTTAGACCTGTAGGGTAGGTTGATAGGTGGTTGAAAATTTGTATGTTGAAAATTTGATTCTCAAAGATTGAAATGTCCAAGGATTTTTTTGAAAATATTTCTGTTATGGAAGTATGGATTTTATACTGGTATCATAAAAGTTATATCTAAGTACTGAAAGGTAAGTGTACCACGTGTAACCCCGTTGCAATTCCTTGAAGGCAAGTGCATTACAAGAGTGAAAGTAACGAAAGTTTGAATATTGTAATACCGCTGCAAGAATTCAAATGTCAGAGGAATAAAACACGAAATAAATATGAAACGATACACGTTCCATAAAAAATTTCAAATCGATTTACACTGTGTCCACCTTAAGGACTTACCACCCGTGTAAAATCGTTATTATCCGACCAATTTCAAAAAAAACTTTTTTTGTTGGATAGGTATTTGAAATGCCCATCCAACGAGAGAGTGATCTAACTCTTGGACTGTTATCGTGGCCAACTGCGACAAATTTCAATGACCCATATTCCAGAAAGTACTATTAGGGATTTTTTTCCACGATATTTTATGATGGATTCTGAATCAGTACCACTTGAAATATACCTGTAGCAATTTTCATCATCATAAAACACAGGGTGTCCGAAAAAACGAATCATCATTTTCTTCAAATAGGTGATCAGCAAATGTAGTTATGTGTTTTTTTCTAGAAAGAAATAATCACAAATTATCATTGACGATCATTTCAAATATACCAGTACCAATTTTCGTCATTTGAATATACAATGTGTCTGAGAAAAAAATTAAAAAGGATAGGTAAGCAATATTTTTCATCCTGATAATTTTTCACTCAAAATAACAAGATGAATCAGGATCACTTGGAACATACCTGTACCGATTTTCATCATCATTAAACACAGGGTGTTCGAAAAATCAAATTAACATTTTTTTTGAGTTGATGAAAAAATATTGCCTATTTTTCTTTTTAATTGTTTTCTCATACACATCGTATTTTTGAATGATGAAAATCGGTACAAATACGTTCAAAGTGATCCTCAATAATAATGTGTCATCAATGGGGAAGTTTCCTATATTGAGGTTTTTATCTAACTGTGAAGTTTGTAAAAAATTAATATATACGTATTTTTTCTTTTTTTCGTAAGATGAAATTTCACTTCAGAAAAAAATTAATAAAAGAGGAACTTGGTTCCTCCACCATTCCTATGACGTATTTTCTGAAAATCCACATTCACACAGAGTTAAAATACGATTGCCTGTGTCAGTACGACGTTGCCGACATCATCATTATGTCTAGATTTTCGGAAATTGTTCTTTGAATGCATAATAACTATATCATAACAGCAATGGGATGTAATAGGTTCTTCAATCCTGCTTTGTCAAGTATTATGAATAATTCCCATAAATCTCTCATGGGCTGAATGAAGTTGATTACTAATAAAGATAAATTGAGATATTTTGCGATAGTATCTATAATTTTGTCAGTCATTTTTTTGCTAATGAATTCGTTCCTTAATAAAACGGATCTATTTTCTAGGATTGTTGCAGATTATATCTTGCAACAGCGCATAATGGGTGCCGGCTTCATTCTGTTCTGACCGATGGCAGTAAATTAGGAAGGATAGTATCATTGAATGTAGCCGATAGTGATTCATTGATTCAATGACATTTCCGTTTAGGATCGAGCTCTATTCGAGATATTTCAATGCATAAATAACAAAACCATATAACATGTCAGAATGAAGCCAACTACCCTCTGCATTCCTGCTCCGAGTGCATTTGTAGTTATGTATGTTTTTGTTTACCAATTTTACTTCTTCTTCTATTTTTTTCATTCGTTTTTCATTCGATACCTATTCGCTAGCTATATTTTTCACCATCAGCTATCTTCAGACTAGATTCAGAATGTACGTCACAGTTTGCCGCCCCGAAAATTAGAAATTGCTTTAATTTGAAAATGAAAACGACTTGGACTTTATCGTTCGCCATTCCGTACAGCGTGGACATAAAACTGGAGAGTTTCGAACTTATTTTATGAAAATTCATCCGAAGGAAACTTCCCCATTCTTCTCAAAAATACCACAATACTACATTTTCTGATCACCTATTAAAAAAAAAACATAATTCGTTTTTTCGGACACCCTGTGTTTTATGATGATAAAAATCAGTAAAGGTGTATTTCAAGTGATCGTGATTCAGAATCCATCATTGTTTCTTGTGAAAAAAAAATCCCTAATAATATGGGTCAATAAAGTTGGTCGCAGTTGGCCACGATTACAGTTCATGAGTAAAATCACTCTCTTGTTGGATGGACATTTCAAATACCTATCCAACAAGAGAAAGTTTTTTGAAATCGGTCAGAAAATAACAATTTTAAAAGGGTGGTAGGTCCTTAAGGTGGACACACTGTATATAACATACAAGAGCAATTATTGAAAGAGATAATTGGAACAAAATCTGTTCTGAATCTTTTCATACAGTTTTTTTCACACTTCATCTTCGGGAAGATATAAATATACATCGCTGAATCTTGGGAAAAGCTGAATTCAACAAGGCCCAAGAAGAAATAACGGTTACATTTAAAAATTAAAAGTTGACTGTCAGCTTAGGTTAGAAGTAATATTGTTTTTCATGAATATGCAAGAATTTGAACGAACACTCATGATGGCTTGAACTGATTGAGCAATGAGAGAAAACAGAAAACGAACCATTCCGGAATTCGAGTTACAACGAAAGTCAAATACTGCATTTTTATGTTCAGAACGGGAGCAGATTTGTTCCCGAAACGTTCAAAGATAAGTAAAAATTGTTTAAATATATCTATATTTCTTCTTTTCAAACATTTTTCCAAACAAAGTGCCACTGACGAGCTATTGGATTTTTCATTTGTTAAACTCAGTGACATTTTGAGGCAAATCATTTGAATTATCCTGTCTATGGTTTTGAAAATTGGTGATTAGCAAGTATAACAACTTGCTCAATAATTGATGAAACCATTTTTCTTCACTTCCAGTTTCACCGGAAACGACCCCAACTTTCGATTTCAAAATGGGACACCCTGTATTGTATTGCATAATCGGTTAGGGATTATCATGACGAATTCA